ACTCCAGATGAGGCCTCACTAGGGCAGTGTAGAGGGGAAGGAGAACCTCCCTCGTCCTGCTGGCCACACTCTTCTTGATGCACGCCAGGATCCCATTGGCTTTCTTGGCAGCCAGGGCACACTGCTGGCTCATGGTTAACCTGTTGTCCACCAGGACACCCAGGTCCCTCTCCGCAGAGCTGCTCTCCAGCAGGTCCACCCCAAGCCTGTAGTGATGCATGGGGTTGTTCCTCCCCAGGTGCAGGACCCTGCATTTGCCTTTGTTGAACCTCATCAGGTTCCTCTGTCCAACTTTCCAGCCTGTCCAGGTCATGCTGAATGGCAGCACAGCCTTCTGGTGTGTCTACCACACCTCCCAGTTTGGTGTCATCAGCAAATTTGCTGAGGGTACATTCTAACTCTTCATCTAGGTCATTGATGAAGAACTAGCCAGTGTAACTCAGTCGAGTACTAGCATTTCAGCCTTAGGAAGGGAAAGCAACAGGGAAAAATCTATCAGTCTTTTAGAAGAAGCAATAGCAGGGTTTCAGAAGGATGCTTATTTTGATACTGTTTTAATATGGCAGCTGCTGACAGCATCCCGTGAGAGTCTGCATTACATGAGCCACTTCCTACATTCACATATTATAACCACCATAGAGGAATATATCACTTTCTCTTCTTAATCCCAGCCCCCTTGTTACTTTTCAAACTCTAAAAGAGAACACTGTAATTTGGGTTGTCTTTTGTTTGTTGTCTTGGATTGTGGTTTACATGGAAAATAATGTGTTTATATGGCTTTAAAAATACCTGTCTTAAAGGCAATCACAGTTGTGTGTGTTGAAAATGACTGAGGTCACAAACAAAGGATTATGACTTCAGGTGAGAATTAAGTAGGAACAGATGGATTCTTAATCATCAAATACCTTAATTCTATGCATGCATCCCCCTAATGAAAAACAAGTAGAATATGAAGGACATACAGATGGAGTTTTTTGGTGGTTTTGTTTCTAACAGATATTTTTCAGCATTTGAGGCATCATAAGCCCAGAAAAAAATGGACCATAAATATATCTGTAAGATGTGCTTGTTAATGCCATTATGCCTATTTTAGTCTAGTTATAAGAGCTCTAGTTAGCTAAAATAGTTCTATGAAAGCAAATCATATATGATCAGTCAGAGGACTCAGCATTTTTGTGATCTCTTTTCAGAAGCTCAGGTGAAATCACACTTGCCATATTCTCTCTAAGAAAAGCAACAAGAATGTAGTGTGCTTGCTCTTAAAAATATTCAGTCTATTTGGAACTGAATGTTTTATATTTACAGGTAGATCTCTTCGGCATCACAGTTCTGTTTCAGTTCTAGATATATATAATTCACTTTTGCACTTGATAACAGGGAAATTTTACGTAATACAAACTTGAAAAATTTGTTTAGCTGAGCTCAAATACGCTTTCCTTCATTGTCAGGAGGCTTTAACCTAGTTCATCTCTTAACATCATGACAGCTTAATAAAACAATACAGGAAAAATCCATTTCCAGATAGCGTTTATTTTTGTCTGTCCTTCTGCATGGGTGGCGTGCCTGTTAAGGTCCGTTCTGAGCTGCTGAAAGTGTTGTCATTGAATGACAAGTAAAAGGTCTGACCATTTGTAATTATTGGCTATTAACTCTGCTGCTCTTTTAGTGGAAGTATGAACTGATCCTTTTTTTGGCCATGCTGCATCCTAACTGCACTTTAATTTCCCACATTTCCCTATGTAGCCTCAAGTGAGCATAGTACTTTCAGTTTGCAGTTTCTCTCTACGTGAACTAGCTGCTCGGCTGTCAAAAATGGTGTGTGTGCAGGGAAAGGGACAGTTCAGTGACTCCTCCTGATGCCAGCCACACCACAGCAGACAAATATGGGTAAATCCTGGAAGCAGGAATTTTATTCAAATAAAAAGGGAGAAGTACCTCTATTGTTGACTTTCTATCTTCAATGGAGAGAAAGAAAAAGGTGGGTTAATCTATTAAAAATGGAGCATCATCTGTGGACCCATAGTTTCAGGAGACACTACCATCTAAAACAAAGTCTGCATTATATGCCATTTACAAGTGATGCCTTTGATATCTAGTGCTGCTGAAGCTGTAATTTGAGCCCATCAGGGATGTTAGTTGTTGGATACTGTGACCATTTTCTTAAGGGAGCTGATCCTTGGAAATCAGTAAATGAAATTTTTCTAATCTTTTTCCCAATGGAAACCCTTAGAAGCAAAGGCACTGGACATAGGTCAGCCTTCCAATATACAAGTGTGTTTGAAACTGTGAAAACAGTTGTGAAAGCTTCTGCATTTAGTGTGTTTAAGTGCCCTGTTTGTAGACACACAACTCGCCTTTCTATGGCGAGTTCCTGGTGTGATGATTTGATCAGCTGCAAAATCAGCTAACTCTGCTTTTTCAGGTTTAGAGGCCAGCTACCTGGTTCAGGAGATGTGCCCGTTGATGAAGCACCTGGAGAACTTGCTCTGATGATGAACGGCAGCAGCACAGGGCTAAGGTAATTTCTCTCTTCACTTCTAAGTACTTCACAGTGTCGGTATATCTTCTTGACAGTGTGCTGTTGGCTGGCAGGTGTATTTGTTCATGTGTTTGTTTCAGATTAAGAGCTTTTTTTCTGCAGGAAAGGTAAAATTCATTGGGTGTTGAATTTTATGAGTCAACTAGGTAGTTATACTGGCCTGTTATTACTCAAGGTTTAGGGGTTGACTTCCCGTAGAGGTCTCAGGTTTCGTGTGTCATCTCTTAAGGACTCTAACCTAGCCCAGTGCAAATTGGAGTTTTCACAAAACCTTACCTTTTGTTCTTTTTTCTAGGTACTACTTGTTATTTTTTGAACTAAGATCAGGACATCTCTTCAGTCTTGATTTGGACCTGATGTAAAAAATACATTATCCTTTAACTCCCAGATAGAAATGATCTTTTACAATTGGTAACAGATGCTGCTTTTTTAAACAGTGCTGTTGTGCACCTCTGCTTTAGTGCGATCAGAGCAAACCAGCACTGAAATAACTGGAAGTAGACTTAAGCCAATATTTAGCTCTTTATCTCAATTCTGCATGCTATTTAAAACTTTAATCAATACGTTATTGTGTTTTCTTTCTGTGCTACCCTGTCGCATTTCCTGTTAACACTGGAAGAAGATTCCGGCTTACTAGAAAAGCAACAAACAAAAACTGTGGATTTGACAGGGTTTTTCTCCCTTTCTCAGAAAATAACAGCTGCTTGTTCTGTGTTTTAACTATAGATGTTCCTTTTACCCAAGTATCCGCTGTTTGGTGGACAAGAAGAGCAGCTGTCTTTTGAATGGCCCCTTCTTTAGTGACAAGGAAAGACTTTAAAATAATAAGCTTTACTCTTCACTATGAGAATACAGGAAGAACTGTTAATTTAATTATAAACAAAGAGTCCAATACTTTTTCTTTTCATGTTTCTTTAATGTCAGGTGATACTGCTTTTGGTTGTTGTTTTTTTTTGAGATCCCTCTTCACTGAAAAGGGATAAGACTTCTTTCTCCAGAACAATGGGAATTGTTAGTTTCCTTGGAACACTTCACTGCTTAACCAGGTGTTTGGCTGCTGTGAGTTACTGGCATATCCTTGTTGTATTCTGATGCTTTCTTGTTTAATTTTCACACAGACTGAAATGATCAGAGTGTGATCACTGTAACAAAAGAGATGGAGAGTCATGATATGTTTAAGATGCAGTAGCATTAAGCCCCTTGGAGGAAAAATGTAACCTAGAACATCTGGAGGTCTTCTTGGCAACAGTTTACTGAAAACCTGCAAAAATCTACATAGCCTAGCAGGGAAAATGAGGAAAACCTGTGCCATTAACAAAATGAGAGTTCCAGATTTCAAAAGGTTCCCCACCCTCTCTTCATTCCGCTGGTTTAATTTACGGTAATTTTTCAAAGTTAGTATGTGTTCGTGCAGTCTCAAGTTGCCATGCCAGCTGTTTCCAAAGTTTGGCAGCAAAACACTTGGAAGTTTTTCTTCCTATATATATGCCATCTTCAGGTTCGCAAAGGTTACCAGATGAATGTTCCCTAAATAATTTACTCTAATGTAAGGCTGAAAGAGGCTACAGAAGACAAGTCGATTTGTCTCTTTTATGCATTTGAATATGTAAGTGATGTTTTCTACAGTATCAAGAGAGAGTATGCAAGTGTGCGGCTAGAGCTTAGAAAGGAGGAAGAGCTGGTAGGAATACATCCGTTTTTTTAACAGTTTATTTTCTGAGGTTTTTTGTTTGTTTTGTAGGGGGGGTGGTGGTTGTTTTTTGTTGTTGTTGTTGTTACTAACTTTTTAATTGACCTGCCAAACAGTTCTTGTTACAGCGAATGCTATCAGAACCCTAATGGAAAATCAGTCCTCTCTGACTTCCAGTTCATACATGAGAGCTGCTATAGCAAACCTCATGGCATGAAACTTGATTTCAGTCTTCAAATAAGAAAAACTTAGCTTAAAAACATCCTGCTATTTTAAAGGAAACAGTGAAAGTACTTTAAAATACTGAACCTGCTGAAGTGAGATATTGGGAGTTTAGAAGTAAAATAAATAATATAATCAAGAACTGAAAAACATAGAGTTTTTTATAATTAACAGCTCATTTTGAGTTAATTATCTACAATTACGAAAATCTAATTGCAATTTATTCTCTGCTATCTGTGGGAAGAATTGTAGGCAAGGGAATGTGCATCACTGCCAGGCATAAATGCTGTAGGATGGGTACAAATAGTAGAGGAGCCCTTAATGAAAAACAAAAAGCAAATAGGAGCGTGCAGCTGTGCCAGTCTATTGAAAGGTAATTGTAGTCAGAAATGAGATATGTACTTTAAAAGGCATCTTGTCATCTCCTGTAGGGATTAATTTTTTCCCTCCTAGAAAGAGGAAAAAAAAAATTCCATGAGCAAATACGGTATAGAGTTTGATTTCTGATACAGATTTTGGTCACAGTCTGTCAGTGAAAAAGAAAACTTTTATCTTCAGGACTACTACAAACTATAGCTGATTTTTCTAATAGGATGCCTGTTTCATTTTCTTTTCTAAATGTACCATTATGGTTTTTCATTATCAAAGTCAGCAAGCGTTGTCCATCTTAGCCTCTTTGGATGGTCCCGGTTTGAATTTGCCATGTTGGATTTGTTAGTTCCCTGCTGGGTATGCTGAGGAGGTGTTGGGAAGAAATGTGTCTGTCGCTCTGCCTGCATGCAGCTGGGCGGGCCCATGGGACCTGAAGCGTCTTCAGATGCAGGATCTCCAGTTCTTTGAGGTGCAGCAGTCAGAGCAGATTTTATTGAGGCTGGTTTTCAGTATCTTGAAGAGCTCCTGAGTGAGCCCACAGCAAATTTTCAGCTATGGAGATAGTAACTTCTACAGTTAATGGCAAGTTGTCTAGTTGTCTGTATAATTTCTTTTGAAGTCTGCCCCAGTGTGTAAGATGCTTTAAGATATTCAAAATAAAAACATAACCTGATGCATTTGTTTAGCACAAAACAGCCTTTTACACAGTGCTTTCCATCTCCCAGACGCAGATGCTTGGTACGTGCTCAAGTACCCACTCCATGTGTATTCAGTAGGATCAATACACCCAGCACCTGCTTTTGTGTGTGCTCCTGACATCTGCATCTGGGAGAGGAATTTTAAAACAATCAGGCCACTTGGGAGGAATACAGGAATGTTGTCAGAGCATGCAGGGATGAAACGAGGAAGGCTAAGGTCCACCTGGAGCTAAATCTGGCAAGGGATGTGAAAGACAACAAGACGGGCTTCTTCAAGTACATCAGCAGCAAATAGAAGACTAGGGAAAATGTGGGGCTGCTGCTGAACGAGGTGGATGCCCTGATGATGGAGGATACAGAGAAGACGAGGTTACTGAATGCCTTCTTTGCTTCAGTCTTCATTGCTAAGGCTGGCCCTCAGGAATCCCAGGCAGAGAGGAAGCCTGCAGAAAGGATGATCTTCCTCAAGGACGATTGTGTGAGAGATCATTTAAGCAATCTGAACACCCACAAATCCATGGGCCCCGATGGAATGCATGCGGGAGTGCTGAGGGAGCTGGCAGATGTCATTGCTGAGCCGCTCTCCATCATCTTTGAAAGGTCCTTGAGGACAGGAGAGGTGGTCAAGGAGTGGAGGAAAGCCAGTGTACCTCCAGTCTTCACAAAGGGCAAGAAGGAGGACCCAGGGAGCTGCAGGCCGCTGAGCCTCACCTCCATCTCTGCAAAGTTGATGGAGCAGCTCCTTCTGGATGTCGTCATTAAGCGAGTGGAGGAAAAGAAGATTATCGGGAGGAGTTAACATGGATTCACCAAGGGGAAATCATGCTTGACCAATCTGATGGCTTTCTGTGATGGCACGAGCGTCTGGGTAGCTGAGTGGAGAGCAGTGGATGTTGTCTACCTTGAGTTCAGCAAGGGTTTTGAGACTGTCTCCTGTAATATTGTCATAGGGAAGCTCAGGAGGGTGAGGTGGACTGAGAGCTGGGTGAACGGCAGAGCCCGGAGGGCTGTGATCAGCAGCGCAGAGTCTGGTTGGAGGCCAGTAACTAGTGGTGATTGCCAGGGGTCAGTAGTGGGCCCAGTCTTTTTCAACTTCTTCACCAATGAGCTGGATAAAGGGACGTAGTGTACCCTCAGCAAGTGTGCTGATGACATGAAACTAGGAGGAGTGGTGGCTAGACCAGGAGGCTGTGCTGGCATTCAGGGAGAGCTGGAGAGGCTGTAAAGTTGGACAGAGAGGAACCTGATGAAGTTCAACAAGGGCAAGTGCAGGGTCCTGCACCTGGGGAGAAACAACCCCATGCATCACTACAGGCTTGGGGTGGACCTGCTGGAGAGCAGCTCTGTGGACAGGGACCTGGGTGTCCTGGTGGACAACAGGTTAACCATGAG